ATTGAAATATTTGGTATCTACGTTAAGCAAAGTACAGCAGAGCTAGTGCAATATCAGCTTAAGTGCATCTACACTGTAGAATTAATTCAGTATGACACCACTTTAACTGTCATGGCTCCGGGGCATCATAGTTTACAAGGTCTTTAGGCTTCTCTATTAAAGAGGGCTTGTGGCTCATCAAACTACAACTCAAAGGATCCCATAACATTGAGCCATGGCAGACAAAGTGGTGTCGAACTGCAATAATTCTACAGTGTAGATACACCTCGACAGGTAGAAACGGATCATTATTGAGGATGCTTTTGTAGGGTAAAATTGAAAAAGGATGTTTGTTGATTTAGGAAATCTATCTTAGGATAAGAGTGGAGGTAGGTAAAAGAAGTCAATCAAAAATTGGGTTGTTTTAAGTTTTTCGGGCTGTATGGCCATGTTCCAGAAGCATTCTCAGAGGTTATGAGGTCTGTTGGAAACTAGGAAACTAGGTTTATATATCTGTGGAATGTCCAGAGTGGGAGAAAGCACTCTAGTCTGTTGGAGGCAGGTGTTAATGTTTCAACTGGCCACCTTGATTAGCATTTAATGGCCTAGCAGTTTCAGGGTATGGCTTCTTACTGCCTAGGGGAATCCTTTGTTGAGTTGTGATTAGCTGTCCCTGATGGTTTCTTGTCTGGAGTTCCTCTGTTTTGTTCTTTATTTACTATTATGATTTTAGAGTTTTTAATACTAGTAGCCAGATTTTGTTCATTTTCATGTTTTTTTTTTCCTTTTCTGTTGAAGTTGTCCACATGCTTGTGGATTTCAATGGCTTCTCTATGTAATCTGACATGGTAGTTGTTTGAGTGGTCCAGCATTTCTGTGTTCTCTAGGGCCTGAGGCCCCTTCTACACTGCCACGGAATCCAAATTATCAAATAAGATAATCCACATTATCTGCTTTGAACTGATTATATGAGACTACTCTGCCATACAATCCAGTTCAAAGCAAATAATCTGGCTTTTATATGGCAATTTAGAAAAGGCCTAAGATTCAATGATTCAATCATTCACAAGGTTGCTGCCCTTGCAACAGAAGCTTGATCTACACTGCCAAATAATACAGTGTAGACCCATATAAAGCAGTTCAAACTATCGTTTGGCAGTGTAGGTCCAGTCTTGGGGCCCTTTCACACAGCCATATAACACAGAATATCAAGGCAGATAATCCACAATATCTGTTTTGAATTGGATTATCTGAGTCCACACTGTCATATAATCCAGGTAAATGTGCATTTTATATAGGAAGGAGCCTTAGGCTCCCGTAGAGGTGTGGAATATATTATACTTATCTTTTTTTTTTTTTTGCATTTTAAAAGATTATATAAGCAATGTACAAATTAATCCTGGCACCTTTCCCTCTTGCCTAGTGTGTATGTGCGTGGGGCGGGTGTGTGTAAGTCATATACGCCCACCGCCTATGACTTCTTGAGTCAACATCACCTGAACATGAAGGGCGACCAACTATCTTTTTGTCAGGTCTGAAGAGATTACGCCTCAGGGGAATTCACATTGACAGCTTCCTCAACAAAGAGTTAGGAATCACAGACCTGGCGGCGATCTTGAGATGTCATCAAGGCAAGAGCAGGGAAAACCAGTTTGGTTCCCTCAAACCCTATGCGGGGTGGATGTTATCAAGAGCGTGCCTGATGCCACTGAGGTCCCTCAAACTACAACTCCTGAGATTCCAAAGCATTGTGCTGTCAGTCTAGTGCAGGCATGGGCAAGCTTGGGCCCTCCAGCTGTTTTGGACTTCAACTCCCACCATTCCTAAAACTCCTGAGATTCCATAGCATGATGCAGTCAGTCTAGAGCACGCATGGTGGACTCCAGGTATTTTGGACTTCAGCTCCCACTATTCCTAACAGCCTCAGCCCCCTTCCTCCCCCCCCCCTCAGCTGCTTAAGGAGCTGAGGGGGGAAAGCAAGGGGCTTGAGGCTGTTAGGAATGGTGGGAGTTGAAGTCCAAAACACCTGGAGGGTCCAAGCTTACCCAGGCCAGCTATAGACTGATTGCATAATGCTAAGGAATCTCAGGAGTTGTAGTTTCATAGAATTCTAGAGTTGGAAGACACCTCATGACCATCCAGTCCAATCCCCTGCCAAGAAGCAGGAAAATCACATTCAAAGCACCCCCGACAGATGGCCATCCAATCTCTATTTAAAAGCCTCCACCATACTCTGCGGCAAAGAGTTCCACTGCTGAACAGTTCTCACAATCAGGAAGTTCTTCCTCATGTTCAGGTGGAATCTCCTTTCCTGTAGTTTGAAGCCATTGTTCCACATCCTAGTGTCCAGGGAAGCAGAAAACAAGCTTGCTCCCTCCTCCCTATGACTTTCCTTCACATATTTATACATAGCTATCATGTCACCTTTCAACCTTCTCTTCGTCAAGCTAAACATGCCCAGCTCTTTAAGCCGCTCCTCATAGGGGTTATTCTCCAGTCCCTTGAATAGTTTGGTTGCCCTGGTCTGAGCACATTTCAGCTTGTCAACATCTCCCTTCAATTGCAGTTCCCAGAATTGGACCCAGTATTCTGACCAAGGCAGAATAGCATGACTTAAGCTGCTTAAGTGGCTGGGGGGGGGGGGGGGGGAGGAAGGAGCCTGGGGCTGTTAGGAATGGTGGGAATGGAAGTCCGAAACACCTGGAGAGCCCAAGCTTGCCCAGGTCTAGACTCGCATAAAGAAGTTGAACTGCATTGCATGGCACTGTAGATGGAGCCCTAATGAGTGCACTGAATCTGCAAACCATGGAGAGGAAAAACTGGGGCATTCCAAACCCTCTCCCTTTATTTCTATTATTTTGCAGTGGAGCCACCAACTCTTTTGCAGGGCCTTCCCTGGCCCAGAGCAGGTGCCCCCCTAAATGGGGATAGGGCCTGAGGCTGTTAGGAATGGTGGGAGTCAAAGTCCAAAACACCTGGAGGGTCCAAGCTTGCCCGGGCCTGCTCTAGACTGACTGCACAACGCTAAGGAATCTCAGGAGTTGTAGTTTCATAGAATTATAGAGTTAGAAGAGACTTCATGGGCCATTCAGGCCAACCCCCCTGCCAAGAAGCAGGAAAATCACATTCAAAGCACCGCCGACAGATGGCCATTCAGTCTCCATTTAAAAGCTTCCAAAGAACAGGCCTTCACCACACTCCAGGGCAGAAAGTTCCACTTCGGCGACTAAAATGATCAAACGTCTGGAGAACAAGCCCTATGAGGAGCGGCTTAAAGAGATGGGCATGTTTAGCCTGCAGAAGAGAAGGCTGAGAGGAGACATGATAGCCATGTATAAATATGTGAGGGGAAGTCCTATGGAGGAGGGAGCAAGCTTATTTTCTGCTGCCCTGCAGACCAGGACATGGAACAATGGCTTCAAACTACAGGAAAGGAGATTCCATCTGAACATGAGGAAGAACTTCCTGACTGTGAGAGCTGTTCAGCAGTGGAACTCTTTGCCCTGGTGTGTGGTGGTGGCTCCTTCTTTGGAGACTTAAACCGAGTCTGGATGGCTATCTGTCAGGGGTGCTTAGAATGCAATTTTCTTGCTTCTTGGCAGGGGGTTGGACTGGATGGCCCATGAGGTCTCTTCCAACTCTTTGGAGGCTCCTTCTTTGGAGACTTTTAAACAGAGTCTGGATGGCCATCTCTTGGGAGTGCTTTGAGTGCAATATTCCTGCTTCTTGGCAGGGGGCTGGACTGGATGGCCCATGAAGTCTCGTCCAACTCTATGATTCTATGTTAGGAATGGTGGGAGTTGAAGTCCAAAACACCTGGAGGCCCTAAGACTCATATAATGAAGTTGAACTGCATTGAATCAGCAAACCATGGAGAGGAAAAAACTGGAGCAATCCAAACCCTCTCCTTTTTTATTATTATTTTGCAGTGGAGCCACCAACTCTTTCGCAGGGCCTTCCTTTGCCCAGAGCAGGTGGCCCCCTAAATGGGAACAAGGCCTGAGGCTGTTAGGAATGGTGGGAGTTGAAGTCCAAAACACCTGGAGGCCTCAAGACTCCCATAATGAATTGAACTGCATTGTGTGGCAGTGTAGATGGAGCCTTAATGAATGCCTTGAATCTGCAAACCATGGAGAGGAAAAACTGGGCCAATCCAAACCCACTCCTTTTTTTTTATTATTCCAACTCTTTTGCAGGGCCTTCCTTTGCCCAGAGCAGGTGGCCTCCTAAATGGGGACAGGGCCTGAGGCTGTTAGGAATGGTGGGAGTTGAAGTCTAAAACACCTGGAGGCCCGAAGACTCACATAATGAAGTTGAACTGCATTGTATGGCAGTGTAGATGGAGCCTTAATGAATGCCTTGAATCTGCAAACCATGGAGAGGAAAAATTGGGGCAATCCAAACCCTCTCCTTTTTTATTATTATGATTTTGCAGTGGAGCCACCAACTCTTTTGCAGGGCCTTCCTTTGCCCAGAGCAGGTGGCCCCCTAGTTGGGCCTCAGWGGGTGGTCCTGCTGCCTCTCTGCCACTGTTTACTTCCTGCTTTGCAAACTCAGGAGCAGACCCAWCTCGGCGGAGGGATCCGACCATTTCTGCTTCTCCTCCTCCTCCTCCTCCAGCCTCCTCCCACTTTTTTTTTTTTTTTTGCTTCTGCTTTTCTCTCCCTCCCCCTTCCTCCCTTTCCTCGTCTTTTGCGCGAAAAAWATATATAATAATTTGACAGCGTTTTGCTGACATCAGGATTTTGCAACCCGAGGAGGGGGAGGCTGCTCCAGKCTGGAAGTGGCCCCTTCTGCCAAAAGAGGCATGCCTGGCATTTCATGCACAAGGTAAGTCCAGCTACCTTGAGTTTAAGCTCTCTCTTTTTCTCCCCCTTTCCTTCTCCCTCCCATACAGTCATTGCAATGTCTCTCGTGCAGTGTGAGGAGGGAGAGGGTAAAAATGCAGGGGTTTTTTAATTGGGGGGTGGGGTGGGGAGTCGGTTCTCAGCCTGTATTTCCTGGCTGGCGGAGCGATCTGTGTTTACAGCCTGAGCAAAGCAGGACCCGAGTCCCATTGCAGCAGCAGCAGCAGCAGGAGCAGCAGCACAGTAAATTAAAACCGATGGGTGTCAAAAGAGAAACACACCGCAGATTGGTTTTATTATTCTTATTTTTGGGCATTGGCACCTCCCCTGATCTGGGACCCTACCTACATGCACTTGTTGCAGCCTGGCACCAGGTAGGCAAACCTTTTGGCAACTTGCATGGTGACCACCAGCTCAACTTACTTTTTTTGTCCTCTTTCTTTCTTTTTTTTTTTTGGTGGTGGTGATTAAGTTTGCAGCTCACTTACTTTCGGTATGAAGGACCGAGGAAGGCGAGGCCCTCCCATGCTGCAAGCAGGAAAAGGGCGAGGAAACTTAGCCTGGGATCTACACTGCCCATGCCATGCAGTTTGGAACAGCATTATAGCCAGTGAAGACCCTTCTAATATAGTTTAAATGCATAGATAGGTCTACACTGACCATATAATGCAGTTTCAAGTTGCATTTTATGGCAGTGTAGGTGGGGCCTATAGATAGATAGTTAGATAGATAATACCATGCAGTCATGCTGGCCACATGACCTTGGAGGTGTCTATGGACAACGCCAGCTCTTCAGCTTAGAAATGGAGATGAGCACCACACCCCAGAGTCGGGCACGACTGGACTTAGTGTCAGGGGAAAACCTTTACCTTTAACTATTTATTTATTATTTATTTCATTCATTCCTACCCCACCCTTCTCCCCACAAAGGGGACTCAGGGCGGCCTCACGTAAGCATTAATGATATACAATAAAAATTTCAATTAAAACCATAAAACTCAATTTAAAACATTATACAATAAATTAACAAATTCATTAACAATAAAATAACGTGCCGCTAAAACCAAGATCCAGCCAGGTAAATCCAATGTCGCAGTGTTCAAAAATTTCCTATCCAAGTTGCCGCTAACACTATATATATATATGTATATATATGGACATATACATACACACATATATACACACACAGAAATATATATGCAAGAAAAGAACTAGGAAACAGACCAGCAGTTTTTAAAACACACACACACATACATATATATATGCACGCGCACACAGACACATTTATACATGCAATATATACATACACATATATGTGCTGCAAATGGAAAGAGCAAAAAAACTGGGACTGACAGTTTTCAGTATGATGCAAGCAGGAAATGAACAAGAAAACAAACTTCAGGTTTTTGAATAAATAAGTGTTATGTACATGTACATGTATATATGTATATATATTATATAAATGCATATACATATACACATATATATGCACACACATCTGCAAGCAGAAAAAGCAATAAAACAGACTGAGTTTTCAAATTGATACATTTGCACATATATACACATACATACATGCATACATACATACATACATACATACACATAATGGTGCTCCATGCAGTCATGCTGGCCACATGACCTTGGAAGTGTCTACGGACAACGCTGGTTCTTTGGCTTAGAAATGTTGATGAGCACCAACCCTCAGAGTCTGACACGACTGGAATTAATGTCAGGGGACAACCTTTACGTACACACACACACATCTCCTGCAAGCAGGAAAAGAGCAAGAAAACTGGGACTGAGTTTTCAAATTCTATACATTTATACATACACCCACGTATATATACTAAAAGCAGGAAAAGGGGGACTGGTTGTTTTTAAACAATTATACATTTATACATATACACATATATATGCTGGAAGCACGAAAAGAGCAAGAAAACGGACTGAGTTTTTAAATTCTGTACATTTATACATATACGTACACACATGTATATATGCTACAGGCAGCAAAAGGGGGACTGGCTGTTTTAAAACAATCTATATACATTTATACATATACACACACATATATATACTGCAAGCAGGAAAAGAGCAATAAAGTTGGGACTGAGTTTGAAAAATCTATACATTTATACATACACACACACAAGCAGACTTCCTGGTTTTTGAATAACTAAATAAATGCTATGAATATGTACATGTAGATATATATAGTTATACACACTCACACACATATCTCCTGCAAGCAGAAAAAGAGCAAAAAAACTGGGACTGAGTTTTCAAATTCTATATATTTACACAGACGTATATGTGCTACAAGCAGCAAAAGGAGACTGGCTATTTTTAAACAATTTATACACACACACACACACACATATATATATATACACACACATGTATATACATATATATGTGTGCGTGTGTGTGTGTGTATGCTGCAAGCAGGAAAAGAGCAAGAAAACTGGGCTGAGTTCTCATATTCTATACATTTATACATACACGTATATATGCTACAAACAGGAAAAGGGATTGGCTGTTTTTAAACAATCTATATACTTTATACATACACACATACACACACACACATATACTGCAAGCAGGAAAAGAGCAATAAAACTGGGAGTTTTAAAATTCTATACATTTATACATACATGCATACATATACGACAAGCAGGAAAAGGGAGAGTTTTAAAACAATATATATACATTTATATATTTATATATATACACGTATATATGCTGCGAGCAGGAAAAGAGCAAGAAAACTGGGACTGACAGTTTTTGAACAATTATATACATGTATATATCCTGCAAGCAGGAAAGGAGCAAGGAAATAGGCAGGTTTTAAAATATATATACCCAAAGATATATGGTGCAGGAAAAGAATAAGAAAACAGACTGGCCGATTCTGAAATGTGTATATACATATATGTATGTGTATTAATGTTTATGCAAAGTTAGAAGGGGATCTGGGAGAAAGCCTTATGCTGCAACAACCAAACATGCGTCCATGAGAGGGGAGAAGGGGGTGATATTTTAATGTATAGTGCTTTGCATCCCAAGGGTTTTACGCGATGTGGCAAGTGACCATTTGTGTGGCTGTGAGACCATGCTGCCTTACCTGTTTGCAAGCAGTGGGGACATGGGAAAAGAGAGATTTGCATGTTAGCCACTCCCTAAGCCATGCTTTTTCTCTCCCCATGGCGCCTGCTGTTTCGCATGCGGCAAAAGCAAAAGAGACGCTTAAAGTAAAATGGATGCACTTTGAAAAAATAAAATAAATAAAAAGGAAACAAGACAAACCAAAAGATGAGTCAGGTTGTACTCTTGAAAACTCAGGAAAATAATATAAGAGAGGTTTTTGTTTCATTACATGAAATAAAAACTGGAGAGGAAGATGTCAAATATTGATACTGCCCTTTTTTTGTTTTGAGGAATCAAGATTGAAGATCATTTCACACATTACAGGGACTGTATCCAGGCATGATCATGGGTGCATAGTCACTGTAGAACTAATTCAGTTTAGCACCAGTTTAATAGCTTTGGAAAGTCTTTAGCCTTTTTTTGCCAAAAATACTAGGGCCTCCCCAAACTACAACTCCCATTATTCCATAGCATTGAGACATTGCATGTAAGGTGGAATCAAACTGCATTAATTCTACAGTGTAAATGCATCCTCAGAGTCAAGGGATGTATGTTTTAGGCCAGTGTTTCTCAACCTTCTTAATGCCGTGACCCCTTAATACAGTTCCTCATGTTGTGGTGACCCCCAACCATAAAATTATTTTCATTGCTACTTCATAACTGTAATTTTGCTACTTTTATGAATCGTAATGTAAATATTTGATCTGCAGGTTGTATTTTTATTCACTGGACGAAATTTTGCACAAATATCCAATATGCTCAAATTTGAATACTGGTGGGGCTTGGGGGGTAGGAATTGATTTTGTTATTTTGGAGTTGTAGTTGCTGGGATTTATAGTTCACGTACAATCAAAGAGCATTCTGAACTCCATCAATAATTGAATTGAACCAAACTTGGCCCACAGAACTCCTGTGACCAACAGGAAATACTGGAAGGGTTTGGTGGTCATTGACTTTTGGAGTTGTAGTTCACCTACATCCAGGGAGCACTGTGGACTCAAACAGTGATGGATCTGGACCAAACTTGGTACAAATATTCAATATGCCCCAATGTGAACACTGGTGGAGTTTGGGGAAAATAGACCTTGACATTTGAGAGTTGTAGTTGCTGGGATTTATAGTTTACCTACAATCAAAGAACATTCTGAACCCCACCAATGACAGAATTGGGCCAAACTTCCCACACAGAACCCTCATGACCAACAAAAAAATTGCGTTTTCTGATGGTCTTTGGTGACCCTTCTGACACCCCTTCGTGACCCCCAATTTGAGAAACTGTTTTAGGGCCATAACAACTTTACCACTGATAATCAGTTTGGGGTTTGTTTGTTTTTTGGTTGTTATTGAAAAGATTGCCCCTAATTAACCAGTCAGCAATTATTTCCTCTTTAAAAACAAATTATTTTCAAATCAAATGCTTTACATAGAAAATTCTGGCTTCAGGGCTCCATGTTTGCAGATGCCTCTGTTTTTTTGTTGTGTTTTGTAGGAAACCCTCACCTCCTGGGGGAAAAAGTGGTGTTCTCCTGCCTTCAGAACCTGTGCTGCTATTTAACTAATTACTACCCATTGATTTGATTCCTTTACCAATTGAGTAACACTGGCTGTTAGAAATTGTGGGAGTTGGAGTCCAAAACACCTGGAAGGCCCAAGTTTGCCCATGCCTGGTATAGATGCACCCCAGCTCACAGTTCAAGTTGAATGCTTGTATTTTCAGGGCTTTATATGTTCTGAATCTTTTTCAGAGACCAAAAAGTGGTAAATAATAATAATAATAATAATAATAATAATAATAATAATAATAAATGTTCTTGTTCAGGGTGTCCAAGAATAGAAACTGATAAGGACCTAGGGTGCCTTCACACTACACTATTATTGTGCCATTATTCCACTTTAAGTGCCCCACTAAACTACAGATCTCAGAATTCCATGGATTGGAACCATGGCAATTTCTAGAGAAATAATTGTGCTAGAATTATGTAGTGCTAATGGATCTTTAGAGATGTGATCAGTTGTTCTATAGTGTGGTCCTTTCAAACATGTAACATATACAGGCATGGAGCCGTCTTTGGTGGTTGTAGAAGGTTGGGATGGGGTGGTAATATTGCTCTTGTCAGTAGAAAGGAACTCTGTGGCCCCTTCTACACTGCCATATAATCTAGATCAAAGTAGATAATCCACATTATCTGCTTTGAACTGATTATATGAGTCTACATTGCCATATAAT